GCTCTGTCACTGAGCACAACCCCAGCCCCTGTCATCCACCTTTTAAGTGGACAAAACTACAAAGACCCTAGTATCACTAGGAGATTTCCAAGTTGCTCCAGACAGACAATTGAAGATGGTCAACCCCGAGGAGAAGCTCGACCTGACTCCCTGTGCTTCCCATCAATCCTGGGAAGTAAGGATCGGAGTGAGTCCTTAAATCAGGGATTTCTTTTGACTAAAATATATGTTTTAAGTATTAGAAAGTTGGAACAATGATTCTCACTGGAAATGAAGATAAAAAAGATATCTAGCCCTTAAGATTGAATAGCTTTTTGGGATAGATCAATTTTAAAACCTCCTTTTCATCTGTTAATCTGTAATGGTAGAAGAAAGTTATTTTGGACTTTCTTTTCTATTTTTAAGGTTGTTTTTCAGTATCTGAAGTATTCTATTGAGGTCATGTTGTTGCATATAATTTAATTTTTCAAATTACTGCTCTTCAAAAAATCCTATAAAATATTAGCCAAGAGTCATGGATATTTTGTGACTTCTAGAAAAGCCATGTGCTTTACTGTCACCAAAAGTTTGCTTCCTTCACCAATCAGTAAGTCTTCCTTGGGAAACACATATGGATAAAATAAAATTTCTGTACTTTGATCAATATGATGCAACCTGTATGCATACTTTTTAGGAAGGCGGCTGCATGTATAAACCAAAAACTAACATAGCGAGTTTCTTCCCTTCCAGTGTTGTTCTGGTGGAAGCTGGCCTCAGTTATCAGTGCCTCTCAAGTCAGTTTTTTTTTTTTTTTTGGTAGTTACAAATTGATATCATGCCTTTATTTTATTTACTTATTTTTATATGATGCTAAGGATCAAACTCAGTGCCTCACACATGCTGGCCAAGTGCTCTGCTGCTGACCTGCAGCCGCAGCCCTTCTCAATCTTTGAGGTAGTTTATCCCTTCAGAAAATTTGGGGCTGTTTGAATCAACTAGTTGTTCAATAGTTGAATGCCTAGATTTTTCTTTCTCCTAGCACGATCCACAAACATTTTCTGTTTTTATGTGGACATCCTTGGTGTGTGTCAGACACTATTTTGCATTTTATTCATTTTGCATTTTATTTAGACAAGCAAATATGTCTAAGGTCACACAGCTAAAAGAATCAGTCTGGTGACAGGTCTCTGAGGACTTCCTCCAGTGGTCTTACAGGTGAAGGACAGATTCTTCCTGTCCTATTCCAGCTACTCAATGTTCTAGCATTTTCTCATTGGTGCTCTAAAGTATTCTGGGTTTATTCAGAGATACATTCTGCCAAAATAGGATTAGATAATTTATTTGGTTTAGGAAATTATAGTTTAAGCAAAATAAAAGAGATTATTCTGTGCTCTGAGGAGGTGGCTTGTCTTGGGGTGTGTGGGGCGGAGGACCTGCAGATCCCCTGTGTACATGGTGCCCAACACCCTCATGAAGACTGTCTTCTAACACGGCACGAGTAAAAGAAACCTCACACTACTGTCCCTGAACATCAGCAAGGATGGCGAGAGTAGAAAGCAGCTCACAGTCAGACCATGGAGTGCAGCTGTGTGATAAGATATTCATCCCAGGGAGGGCCTCTGTTTCTTGAAACAACACTTCATGCCTCTGTCACAGGAAGGCATAGATCCCAGGCTCTTATATTTCCATTCTGGGCCATGGCTACCCATTTCAGATGACCCTAGCACCTCTGTACCTCTTACAAGTGAAATTTATTAATGTACTGTCTGAAAGTGTGAAGGTAACAGTTGTGTTAACATTTAAACTGTCCCTCTCTCAAGATCTTGCAAGAAGAACTTACCATGGCTTCCTTTCATTCTGTTACAGGAGAAACCACAGGTCAGACACCTATGAACATCAACCCGCAACAGACCCGCTTCCCTGATTTCCTTGACTGTCTTCCGGGAACCAACGTTGACCTAGGAACGCTGGAGTCTGAAGATCTGATCCCCCTCTTCAATGACGTAGAGTCGGCTCTGAACAAAAGTGAGCCCTTTCTAACCTGGCTGTAATGGCTACCATTTTGTCACTGGGGTGCAGCGCAACCTGACATTTCCTAGGCCTCTTGGAGAAAGCGACAGTGCACAGCTTTCTGCCTCTGTGACTCCTTTTCCTTCCTGTCCATGTGGCCAGTTTCATCAGTGCCTGGTTTTGATTGACAGTGACTTAAGTTAAACATGAATAAATGTTCTATCTTTATTTTCTGCAAGCCTGCATTTCTGAGACAGATGATGCAGAATTGTGCCTAGAGAATTGGTTATGCAGAATTACTTCTCTTCATTCTCTGCTGCCCCATGGCTAAGCTTTATGTGTATTAGTTGAAATTTATACATAAATTGATTATAAACTATAGAAAGCTGATCACAGCCAGTGAATTCAGATGGACAGCTTGGTCCAGGAAATGTGCACAAAATTTGACCTGATTTACGTCTCTAAAGCCGAGTGTATTATAGTAGTACCAAGTGCTTTAAACCTACTCAATAAGTTTTACAACATTGTTGTATGGGTAGTGAAATCCTGCTCTATGGAATGCAGCCTAGTTTTGAATCCATGCTGGCTCTGACAGCCTCTGAAAGAGGGACACACAGTTCTATTGGAGTGTCTCCTTGGTCCTCTGCTGCATAGTATCTGTACAACCTGGCTCTCCCAGCAGGAGGGTAGCAGCAGCATCAGCCACAGGCTTATACTAGAGACCTGTGAAAGAGACCAATTTCAGACTAAAATGAGCATTTATTAAATAAATCTTTTTTTTTATATTGCAACTTAGATTTCTAAAAAAAATGCAGCTCAGAATTCAATGTTTATTTTATAAAACACTATAATTTTGTAGCTGACAACAAAGACCAGCTAGATGTTTTTGATAAATCAGTGGCAACTGTATTTTTGTCTTTTGAAACTATTCTGAAACATCAGGACAACACAGATTCAACCTGATAGTACACGCAGTGAGCTGTTGCTTTTTAAATTGTGAAGCTTTGTCAGTTTTGTTTTAAAAATTTCTCTAATGTTTTAAATAATCACATCTATGAAACTGAAGGATGAAGCAGATCTCTGACTGACGTTTAAAAAGTCGCCCTCCAAGGGTGTAGTGGAGACATGTTTCTGAATGCAGGAAAATTGGTTCCTACATATATTATCCTAACTCTGTTGCTACAGTTGGTCTAAAAAGGCATGAGCTATATACTCAATACCTCTTATAGAAACAAGAATCTCTCCTCATTAGCCTTCAAGGACTGAGAGTGGCATGTTCACCTGGCACAAAGCCCCCTGCCTCGCCAATGAAGTCCTCGACTGTTAATGTTTTGAACTGACATTATTTATACTCTATGAATTTAATCTCTTTTTTCAAAGACATTAATAATTCAGGTCTCTAAAAGGAAACATTCAGTTCCCATGGGGGCTTATTTGTTGGGGATCTTAAATGAGATCCTTTTTGATCTACCAGAATAGAGATGCACAGAATATACTTGATCTAGCTGGAAAGAAGGCAAGTGAAAAGGTCAGAGATGAAGTGGTAAATTGAATGGCACGTAGTGGAAAGGACACTAGTGTGACATGGAGACAGACAAGGCATAGTCCCTGAAGGTAGGACAGGCAAGTGTGAGAGGTGCCCCCACAGAGCAGAGCAGCAGCCTTCTGCCACAGGCTTTGTGCTAGGAGACTGTGGTAGAAGAAAAGAGGGCTTTGGTGCACTTTATGGGAGTTGGGGGCCAGCCCTGTGGCACTGTCCCCAGGGCACTGAGCAGTAGGCAGACATACGCAGGGACGGCTGTTGCCTGCGGCACTGACTGCCTGAGGTCAGGGGCTTTTGTTCCACTGATTCCTTTTGCTCTCTCTAAGCAGAGAGAGGTGAGGAAGGTGTTTGTGTTGCTACTAAATTGAAAGGGAACACTCTTTATTTTCCTCTTTTGTTAGCAAAAATTGCAAAAAGAGTTGTACATTCTTTCTAAGAAAAAACAAATAGAAGGGACCTAACAGAACTCAGCAGTGTTACTGTACTTTTAAAAGATATTTTTATAGACTCATTTTCAGGTTATTAAATGTAAAAGATACAGATACCCTTTTTTTTTTTTTTTAAAAAAAGCAGTTAATCATTGATGATTTACATTACCACCTTTTAGGAGTAATTTTCTAGTAAGCTTGTGCCATTAGAAAATACTAGGATCATTTTTTTAGAGAAATTAGTTGGAACATTTATCAATGAATATAATAAATATTTTTCAGAGTAAACTAGGGACCTTATTTGTTTACTAATAGATAAAGCCAGGTATAATTTTTTGTTGTTTTTAAGGCCATTAAATATGGTCTCATTAAAGAACATTAAGGCTAAAAATCTTAAGAGCTTTTTTTTTGGGGGGGGTGCTGGGATTCAAACCAGTGTGCCAGGCTGGGCTCCATGGAGCTGCACCCACAGCCTGTCAGAGCAACTTTCTGATGGCTGTTTCTCTTATTTTAAGTGTTAAAGCCCCTCAGAAGTCATGATAAGGTGCTATTTATATTTCTTTTTATTAAGACAGCTGCCAGGATATCTAGTATTTTTCATTCAAAACCAGTCATTAAATTTCACCATCTCATCCCAAAATCTTGTTAGAGAAAAGCCATATTTCAAAAGTGAAATTGAAAAGTAATTTCAGAGATTTTTTTTATTCAAGATTTTTTTCTGATAAAATACATTTTCTTTTGAAGCAAATAAATTGTCAAAATTTATTTGTCATTTTTTTAAATCTAAGTAATTGGTAGACAGTGTTTCACATTAGTACTTAGGATATAAACCGCCATTTCTTTCATTGAGCACACAATACACAGGAAGGTGTGAAACAGAGTGGAGTATTCTGTGTGCTGGTAGCTGTGGCCCCCACCTGGTGGAAAAGCTCTCTGCAGAAGAAGGTGGAGCGACAGACTTGCTGAGTACAAGTCACATTCTCACTCTGTAATGAGAAAGGAAGTTCTGGAAGTACAGCCAACTTCTGTGAAAAAAAAAAAGCTGTTAAAAAAGAAAAAAAGAAAGAAAGAAAGAAATTGTGGACTAATTTAATTGGAAAAATGGGTGATTTGACAGAGACTGTTTACCCAACACTACATCATTTGTGCTAGTACTTTAAATTTTTAAAAATTTTACTTCTACATTTTGTAATATGACATGTGTGTTTATTTTTAATTTAGAATGTTATGCATAAAAAAGTATGCAGCCAAATCAATCAGATCAAACCCTTTTACCTGGAGTTTGGTACTGATTTTTACTTCTTTGATTCTGTATAAGAAAAATAAATACAATTGAGTTTCCACTTGGAGTCTTTGTCTCATTATTCATGTATGTTCTTCATACCAAGCGTTTTGGGTGGAACAGAATGGAGAGAATTTTATGTAACCTCTTGGCCGACAACAAAGGAAGGAAAATTCTGTAGGAAGATGCTTTTTTTGGCTCCCATGACTGAACTTCAATACTCTAGATGCC